GTGAAATTATAACTGAAAGGTGAAGGTTTAATTGATGTGGTGACCTTCTGTTTGCTCTACTCATTTGTTTATAGTTTACTCATCGTCACATAAGGAATAATACTGCTCAACATCTAGCTCTGGAAAGAAAACAAAACGAGGTTTCTTGTCAGTAAATTAGCATCTAGAACAATATACTGAACACCGTTTATCTACTCTAATGGAAAAATGTAAAAAGTGTGTGTGTGGGGGGGGGGGGTGCTGGTTCTTTATGTAACATTATTTTTATGAGTTTCTGCTCACCGGTTAAAGGGGAACAGAACACATGGGTTACATAACAAAATGGAGATGAAAAGAACATTGCAGCCCAAATGAAGGCTCGGGATGTGCAGGACTTATTTAACATCTGAAGCACTAACCTGAAACAATGCAACTTCCCTTTCTAATTACATTAGCACTGGTATGTTAAGGAGTCTCTACTGAATGGGGCCTTTGCTTCTTTCCAGGCTGCCTGCAGAGGCCACGCACACTGGGTAATCAATTTGCTGCTGCTCTGCCTGCGCCCAATCCTCGACAACCCTCTGTGCATTGTTGGAAAAGAAGACAGGGAGGGGGAGACAGCATCCTGCTCTTGCCCCAAAGCTCTACCATTCTCGGAGTTACTGACACACACACACACGCACACGAACACTAATGGACACTATACCCTTGAGTGAGCTACAATAGGGGGAATGTCTTGGCCTTTTTATGCATTAGCCAAACTCCTATAAGCTGACCAAGCAACTCAATGAAATATGCAATTGTTGCCTAGCAGATTTAAGTTTTATTTAAACCCAATAAAATAACATAAATGTACATGTACTACAAATTATTTATTAATGTACTAAACACAAATAGAATACTACTACATGAGTTAGTTTAGGAAGTGTATGTACTTGTTCCTATATAAACTTCTGATGTTGCACAGAGCGAGACATAAAAAATATTAATAAAGCTAACTGAAAAAGTTTGTGTGCATTTGATAAAAAGACTTCATCTGAAGTTGTAAGAAAATTCACATGAAATGAACTAGTTTGTAATGTATGAGAAATATTCCATGGCACAATTCCTTAAGGCACTCTAGTTCAGAGGTTCCCAAATTTTTTGTCTTCTGACCCGCAAAATAACCATGGCAAAAACTTGTGACCTCAAATATTACTGGTGTGAATACAYGAACTCCATTGATAACCCTAAAAACACAGGCTTTTTGAAAATCTAAACAGCTTGCACACACACATAAATACTTATTTTTACTTATTTTGTGTTTTTGTAATAATTATGGGAAAAATATTACATCAGCAAATATTTTATTACCCTTTAAATTGATTTCTGGAGATTATCCAAGGTGCTTTATGACCTATAATTGGGTCCCAAGCCTAACTTTGGGAACCAAAGTGCAGTGGTTCCCAAACTTTTCAGCTTTTGACCCACAAAATAACAGTAGCAGAGACCTGTGCCCCCAACTATTTTTGGATGATAAACATTTGTATCAGGTCAACTAAACATGGGCACAGTAACAATATTATTATACTACATNCATTTGTATCAGGTCAACTAAACATGGGCACAGTAACAATATTATTATACTACATTTATCCATTTTAAATATACTAACCTCACTCCTTTGTAACAACTAAGGCAAAAATGTAATTAATTCAGAAAATATTTTCAGGACCCCACCTTGAAGTTCTGGGACCCCACTTTGAGTCCCGACCCCAACTTTGGGAAACACTGCTCTAGTTAATAAGCTAGCCATGTGTGTGCCAAAAGGTAACAGTAGAAGTTATGTAGTGCTTCACTACCAGAGAAGCATTGCTATCCTTGTTGACCTGACGATGCCCCACCCATTTCTTGTCTTGTGCTTCAGCCACAGCTGTGAAGGAATTTCCACATCTACACAAGTACCGTTGCAATACTGTAAAAAAAAAATCTAAACTATTTGAAAATATTTGTCAATTTTACTGCAGCAATTAGGGGAACCTATAGGCTAAAGCTATCAGGCAGTCATTAGGAAAATTACAGGCCAAAATGGTCACAGACCACAAGCAAAACGCATTTCATTTGCTGCGCATTTCCTTGTCAGGTAGATGACTCAACAACAGGAGACACAGATGCTTCACAGTCATATGACTGTGCACAATGTTCAAAAGACTGCAAAGTCATATTTTTTTCTGTTTTCATTCAGATAAATCCATCATATCCATAATCCACATTCTGTGAACTTTATGTACTATAAACTACATGTTTGGTAGGTGATGAGTGGCAAATCTAATGGTGCTTATAATAAAAATGAAGGCACTTCTACCCAAAACAGAAGTATGATTACMTAACAGAGCAATATCATATTGCTGTAATTTAAAATAAGGTAAGTAACTGCTSGTGCAGGAATTCTATATTTGGGTCTGCACCACCAAAATCTGGCCTTGTTCACAGAAATACTTTTCTAAGGCATTTTAAAGGTCTTACTTATTGATTGATCAAGATGATGCCCACAGTCATCAAATAATTGTATGTATGAGCACAAAACTAGAACCATTATAAAAAATACAAATGTAAACAATACATCAGCAGAAGGCTTTCCATCTAACATGCATAATTATTTTGAACCTAAACACAAAGGAATAACTACAGTGAAGCCAAGCATCAACATTATTATTA